CCATAGCTTTTAAGTTAATAAGAAAAATATCAAGAGATTGGATCATGGATCTGTCATGTCATGCAGAGTTTGGCCATGACCGCATGAAAGGTGGATACCTGAAATGAATGTAGCAAAAACCTTTCATTCTTTATCTTATGAGATTCAGTTTTTAAAACATATAGCACCTTGAGTGCTGCTGTTGTGTTTATCTCATCCTTTCCAACCTCAATTCAAACCTCAAACGTTGTCATTTGCTATAAAGCAGCTTCAGTGCATTGAAATCCAAAAAATGTTCATTCCCTAAATGGTGTTACCTGGACTTACTCCATCTGCAGGGATTCCCAAGAAAATCCATGTCCAAACAGATCTGGTGCATCCACAAAGAAGATTATGGCCATTGATGAATGTCTTGAGCTGCTTCATACTAGACATTTACTGCAGAATAGCCATGTTTGCAGAGTCTTGTCAGCAAAACCTTCCCCTCTGACATCCCCCTTCTTCAGTTATACACCTCAGTGAGGAGGGTAAAATCTGATTCTTCTGGACAGAATGGGACAGGCATGCAATCTGCCCCACATGTAGGCAAGGCAACCTTCAGCCATATGGCCCTTTGGGCTGCCTGGAGCTTCTGAAATCTTCCAGCCATTTTCTCCTTTTTCATCTCTCATGACTGTCTAGGTATCAACGATCTTTCCAACCCTATTCTTTCTAAACAGCATTGCCTATTTCTCTCGCATACTAATTGTAACTGTGGAAGCAGGGGCCATAGTGAGCAGGAAGAAGTTTTAGACACTTGTCTTCATGCCACAGTGCTGATGACAAACACTCACTCTCAACCTTTGGAGCTGGTATGGAGGGGCTGGAGACACTTTAAATGCAATAAAATAAGTGTACATCAGAATCAGAATCAACATTATCTGATTTATTTCTTCAAAGGGGAATTAATAACACTGTATTAATCCAGAGGGGAACTGTGTGACATGTCTCATTATTACTTGGCCAACACATGATATATCTGAGTGGAACAACCCAACTATAAAAACCAACCCTTAAACTCAAACCACTGAGGCTAACAGCTTTGTTTCTATTTCAGCTTGCAAGGCCAAAATAACGATGACAGGTTCATCCTGATCTTCGGATTCATATCTTGAATTCTTCTCCTAGAATATAACCCAATTCAGTGACAAAGGGAATAGAACTTGAAAAAAGATCAATTAATTCCTTCCAAAACTGAAATGTTCTATTCATGCAAAACACAGAACTAGAAATTTCTTACTGTTGTTGAAATTATTTGCTACTTACCTAGCAAGTACATTTGCTTTCAAGACAAAGGCAGCTAATAAAAATGTAGATGTGTTCACACTTCTACTAGATTAATGAAAGAATTTTATTTTAATTCACTCCCTGATGTACCAACCCCATGTCTCTAAATTTAAAAAAGCAAACCATGGTATATTAAACTTAAATACTGATGAGAAGCAAATAGTTTATAATAAAAGGCCACAGGAAAAACAATGAATGGTCTTTGCAAATTTGTGCCCAGGGAATTCTATCAAAGAAGAAATGGCAAATATAATACATTCAAAATAAAGATGAAAACAGGTTTCTTTGGCTAGCATAGTGTGTATTCTTACAAGTGAGTTACTTTAGAATTTTGAATCTCTTTCCTGTACACAGAATACCACAATATCACAAAACTGAGTCACAAGATGATACAAAACACTGTCCCACAATAAGTTATTCTGTTTTTTCAACACTGGCATTAATATGTAGGTGTGGTGTGAACACTGTGCATTCAGCATAAATACTAACATTGTGCGTAATTGACACATGATATCTGCACCACGTTGTGGCCAAGCTGTGGAGATGCCAGTGGCAGAAGCAAAAGATTGGTTTGTCATAGTTTGCAGCAGCCAAGGACCATTCCTCTCAACACCATGCCTGCTTCTGTACAATGTACTGAGTACTTTCAACACTACTTCCCACTTCTTGCCTCTTCAGAGTAGTGTATGGGAGATACATTTGTGTTTACTACAAAGCTTGATGTCATCATGGTAATATGTAATGGTGCTCCCATTTGCCTGGACCTGATCATGATGAAAAGCATAGGAGATGTCTGGACAGTACCATTTCTGACTGCGGGTGTGGGCTCACATGACTGACTGTTTCTCAGTGGAAAAAACTTGCACAAGGAAAACTAGTAACCAGGGGAAAGGATTCTAGTCCATTCATCCACTTAACATGATACCCTTTAATAGGGAGAGATTTCTGTCTGTGTGTGAGTAAAATGGATCTGTTAGTTCTGCAGAGGAGCATCTATGGGACATGGTAATAGATTCTGATTCAAATGTCCAGGAGGTGGGGAAAGTAGAGAATAAATGGCCAAGAACAAGGGAAGATGGATATGAGGAAGGAAGGAGTAGAAAGTTAAATGAAAACAAGAAAAAAACTGAGCCTTTCTGAAGATAAGCAGGAGTGCAGGATGGACATAATAAATGCAAGAGTGAGGAGTCAGATAAGGAGAGAGGACCGAGGACATGCAATGTAGTGTCCTCAGTGATTGGTTCTGCAAACAGGGAGTCTCCTTGGAGGCTTGATTTTAAATGGTTATTTAATGGAAAAGGGGAGGGTATTAGTCAGTTCTCATTAGCTGAAATCAACAATCAGTCTGGAGATAAAGTATTGTGAACTGATTCTATAGAATTCCAACTCAATCTTGTTTCTTTTGTTATTGATTTTGGCAAAATTCTTTGATCTGTAACCAAAGAACAGCTTCTCTTGTTTTCTGTTTTGCATAATAAAAGAAGAAAGGTTTTGTCACTTGACTCCAGAAAGGTGGTTTTCAAAGTATGTGTGTGATAGAGAGAAAGAGTAAGAGGGGGAGAGGGAGAGAAAGAGAGAGATTTCTAACATGTGAACGTTGCAGCCTGAAGTACCATAGCTGAGATCAAATTTAACCACCTCATCTGTTTGTGAGAAGTAACTTTCAGCAGGATACACATCAGGAATAAGCACCATATGACAGTTGTCAACAGTCTTAACCTTCAGGAATGCTTATTGTCAACCCTGCCACTGGTGCCAAATGCTGGATACATCTACATGGGGCATTTTCTCAGCACTGAATCACAGTAGCTGGTTTTCACCAGTTAAATTTTCCCAACAAAGCTTCAGGAGCTGCAGCATAGCTTCACATGTCAGGCTTTCAGAGTTATTGTGCAGGAATTAAAATAGTACCGGCAGCAGCTCTTGTCTACAAGAACAGCTTTGTGGCTGCCACTGGATCTCCACACCAAAGTAAAGGGAAGAGGTAAATTTACAAGGGAAAGGAGGGAAGGAGGTGCCAGGGGCTGGCCCTGGGATTTGAATCTGAATGGTCTGAAGGAAGTCCAGGCCACTAAAATAAATTAGTTCTCCTATATTTCAAAAGGTTTCATAAATATAGCAAGTATTAGCTATATGCTAATGATCACCTCTGTCAGCTTCCTAATGTTCACAGTAAGCCACTGGTACAACAATAAAAGCTTCAGCATAATTGTCCACTAATTCATCTGTAAAGTTTCTATGTAAATCAGCAGGTCTGCATTGCTGCTTTCATAAATAAGGTGATTTCCCCCCAAAAAATCCTTCTCTTACATCATCCTCTCACTCAGGACACATATATCTGATACTCTAAACTGTGTTCTGGAATATTGGGAACGTGCCAGGGGGCAGGTATTGCACTGTCTCTTCCTCCTTTCATCGCTGTTCCCACACACAGATTTTCTCCTTCATTTTCTGGCTACTAGTAACCACAATTTACCATGATGTCCAAATCAGGGAAACTGTACTTTGAACTTGCCTCCAAACCATGATCTGAACACGGCCTACCTCCATGGTTTGGAGGTAGTCCAACTTAGTTCTAAGCATAGTTTGACAGATCCATGCATCATGGCAAACTATGGCTAGGGGAAATTGGGAAAGGAGAAGGAATTGGTACGGAATAGCGGAGGTGTGGAAAGGGAGATGGGGAAGGATTGTTTGGACTTCTGGCACACCTCTGATCTTCCAAACCATAATCTTGAGGCTCATCTGTACTGAGCCAAAGTTTCCTCAGCTGCATTGCAAAGTGGCTCCAAAGTAAATCCACCATTTGGAGAAATCTTTCCTAAGACAATGAATGAGCTGACTGAAGAAAATGTCCCAGGAAGATGTAGGTGTATGATTTGTTCAGTATGAATGAATCTGCCTAGCTGCTGCAGACTTGAGACACACAGTATATAAGCTCCTTTCCTCTTCAGTTCCATACAAGTTTGATTGCTGGGTGGGAACATTGCAAAAAGATGGAATGTCTCACTTGCACTAAGGATGCTTCCAAATAGGGCTTTTATTATGCAAACATGCTGCCCGAGTTACAGAATTTTACAGGCGGCAGAGATGTTAATGTTTTCAATTTGCTACCCTCCTATGTGTCACTATTTCTGTTTTTTGCTTTTTAAGGAGCAAAAGAAGGAAAAGCTGCAGAATGCTTTTAATTGCTAGCAGCAGGTGACCCATATCTGGAAACATCCATCATCCAAATGGTTCACCTTAGCAACAGCACACTTACTGAAATCCATGCACTCCCTGGTATCAGAACAGACTAGCCACATTTTCAGGGTCAGTTAAAACACTTCTTTTCTTCCAGCAGGTCCATCCCTTTCCGTGGGCATAAAAAAACACACAGTGATCTACAGAGAAAGCCTGATGACTCACTACTTGGTTGCCTTGTGCATTTGTAGCATCAAATGACACATGGCTTCACTTTGTGCTTCTTTAAGCCATTTCTCCAGAATGCAATTTCAAACCTGAGCCATCAAACAGGACACGTATGCATATGATTATTTTCTAGCATGGCTGGTCAGCAGTCATCTCCAAGTGTTATTATTCCACACTACTTTCAATATATATGCTTGAGATACAGAAGCTTGGCATCTCAGAGAAAGTGCCCAGTTCTGAAAAATTTCCCAGACAATCTTTCTTTCCAGTCACACAGGCAACTGTTAGAACAGCGCACTTTTCCTCCTCTGCTCAGCGATCCATCCTCCGGGATTCACATCCAACTGTAACATCTTCATCACCCACTTGTCTTTCCGTGCTCCATCAACGAATTCATCTAGAGACAACTGCCCTAAAGAATTGAGGCAAGAAAGTGGGAGTCACAATGTGTTAACTGCGTCACTGCCTGTGTAACCCATACTCCTTTGCCACTGTGGTGCTACAAGAATTCCCCTTGCTGTCCACCTTTGCTAGGAAGAGAAGGGAATGGACCTCTCTATGCTAGTAGATCCAACAGTGCTCCTTAAGCACTGTCATTGGAAAGCAAGTATCAGAATTCTTATCAATTCAGGTTCTTATCAATGAAGATCATGAATGTCAAGAGCAAATGTGCTAAAACCAGTAAGAAAGTTTATTCTTCATTTTTTGAAACATTTGCTTGTTTCACAGGATGTTATTTGTTCTAGGGAAAATGTAGTGCACAACATAATAGAAGCCATAAAGTGCTTGAGCAAGTCTGAAAGGGAGACATCTAGTGAAGCCTTGGCTATCCTCCAAATACCCATGCAACAAAAAGAAACCCATGTAAAATGCGCCCACTGACATTTTGATCAGCCCTGGTTAACTATTGATTTAAGATTGGGATAAGCTGTAGTAGGTAAGAGCGCTCGCCTGGGACTCAGGAGATCTGGGTTCTAGTCCCCACTCAACCATGAAGCTCACTTGGTATCTTTGGACCAGTCACAGACTCTCAGCCTAGCCTACCTCACAGGGTTGTTGTTGTGAGGATAACATGGAGAGGAGATTAACTTCTTGAAAACCACCTTGGATTCCTTGCCAGAAATGCAGGATATAAGTGCAATGTAACAACAACAATAATTTGAACAAGAGAGGGATAATGGAGCCAGTAAGACGGCTGGAAAGCACCTTAATGGGACTAGAAAGCATCTCCTCCATTACAGAAATTACAAGTAAATGACCTACAGTGCCTAGGAAATAGCCAAACACTGTTCTGCAAAGTGGTAAATATTCTGGGAAATGGGTATGCTTTTCCTTTTCCCTAAATGATCAGGATGCAATGATTTAAGAAATGTTCCTTATATTTTAAATGTATTACTCTGACTGACTGAATGTACTAAAATGCATAAGATGCTGTTCTAAGCTTTGATGTACTCACTAAAGATTTGCCTGGCAAAAGCATTACAGTTAGAGGCACTGAAGCTGCACATTTCTTACCATCTCCATTCTCATCCACTAATTGAAATATCCTCTCCACAACTTCCTCTGGAGTAAGACGGGGAGTGTTTCTTTGTTCCTCAGGTTGACATACTTGCTTTAGTCTGTAAATAGACTGGAAAGAGAGAAAGAAAATAAACGGAGGTTTCAAGAAAGGTAGACAAGAAACTACTGTAAGCGTCTGACACTGATGTGCGTACAATACTAATTAATACCTTGGTCCAAAATGTTCACCAAAAAGGGAACAAGCCAAAGGGGAGAAGCAATGTCATTCCAGATGACAGTGATTTAGGATGCTTCCAGACAGACAACATCTAGCATTAGCTATCAAAAGGCTTTAAGTAGCCATTCCATCTTTCTTTCTATGTTACACAAGAGACAGAGGAAGTGATGGAAAAATGGCAGACTCATAGCTGGAAGATGGAGATGTTTGGAAACTTTCTTTCCATTGTTGGAACCAGGGCAATTGTACAATAAAATCTCATCAAAAAGCACCTTTAGCAGTACTCAAACATTACCGATCTACACAAGCAACAAACAGGCACTCTGCTTTTCTTTTGAGCACTACTTGTTTCCACTCCTGTGCTTAGGATATAATTTCCTTCAGAGGTAAAAATATACATCCTGTAAAGATTACAGTGTTTATTCAGACAGTTCCTAGTACTTTGGTGATGGACTCAGTGTATTCTTTTCACTTGCAATTTCTTGGTTCCCTACTTGGTCTTTTGGTCTTTGCCACAGTTGTTCTTTGAAGAATCACCTCTTTGGTCTGGTATATTATGAGACTGCAGATTAGCTAGGGCATGACCCAGACATGACCAAATCTTTGCTGACCTTTAGCACTGTGAATCTGACTAAGACAGACCTCAGATGACAAAGGTCATCAGCACCTTCTGTCTGTGATGGTCATGACTCACCAAGCAGAGTGCTCAGCTCACTGCAAGAAGTATGGTTTAATGTTACTGGATATATTCAGCTATGCAATTGGACTTGGTTTTTGCAGGTGGAGAGAGAAATTGGGATCTTTTAAATGAAAGCCTATCCTGTGGCTCTAACTAGATAATGGCAAGTGTGGAACAGTCCTGATTTTTCTATACACAATCCTTATTCCTAAGCCCTTCAATAATAGCTCAAGAAGTAATCCTTCCAAGGCATTTCCAAAGCTCCTTTATTCTACTTGCTCTTTCCTCTGGGTGTTGTGTGTAAGAATATGAACATATGTCCAGATTACTTGTGATACTGTTGCCAATTAACTACAGAGGTTTTCTGCACATTAATGCAGTACAAACACTTCTGTGCCAATGCTCACAAAAGTACCAGAGTTTCTCAAAGGGTTTCATTTCCTTGCTTGTTTGTTCAGTTTAATTCTTAAGTAGTTCAAACCTCCTGTGACCTTCCTTTCTCTGCTTTGGATGGAAAGAAATAGATTACCACTTTCTGCAATCTGTGTTAGCAGCTTGTCTAGGATCCACTGCTGTCTCTCATTTTTGAGTTGTCACACCTTTTCCTTTGCCCTGTTTGAATATATTCATTAATGCCCACATATACCCCTGTCAAAACCCATGGGGTACCTTGTGAAAAACCAAAGCAAACCAAACCAATCATTTAGGAAGCTTCCATTTAGCCTGCAGTTCCTGATCCTACCTAATCTTGGAAGCTAAACAGGATTAGGCCGAGTTGAAATCTGGATGGGTGAGTTGTGAACCTCCCAGAGAGCTTCAGCTATGGGCAGTATAAAAATGTTGTTATTGTTGTTGGTATCTTATTTGGCAGTTAGCTGTCTTGTGCTTAAGATTGTAGGTTATACTTTTCAGGTTCCTGAATACCTGGACTCTCTGTAACAAGCAGAGAAGTAAGGCCCCCCGTAGGGCAGTGTAATAATTAATTAATTAATTAAATGGGTAAATAAATGAAATTAAGATCTTGCGGCAAACAGGGTGAGAATCTCAGCAGCTGGTTTTTATGGGCAGAAATATTTGGTTTGGCTTGACAGTGTATCCTTTGACAGCTGCTGAACCAAAGCAAAAGAAGGAAAATGAGATTTGGAGTTTTCCTATGACAGTAGGTACCTCACTGGGTATTGCCCAGGTGAAGCTGCCCATTTTCAGAACTCAAAAAATGCATACTTCTGAGCCTCTGGCTGTTCAAAAAGATTTTAAAATAATAATTGTGAGTGCAAATATTTGTGTACATTCAGGAGCCCATTTTAAATGGTTTTGCAACTATGAACAGCCCCTCCAAGATGCCCCTTGGAAGGGCGGTCAGTGACTGTCAAAATGGGGATCATAAAAACTAGCTATTAAGCCAGCTTTTGAGATCAACAGGAAAAAGAAAGCTAAAGTACATAAAAGCCACAAGAAGCTGCTGATGTTTCTTGATTGTGGCAGGGAGGGAGCAAAACCAGTGTTAGCCAAGTGCTCGCTGGGTACTTTTAGGGTGGCTGGCACTGCAGTGGCCAGGGCAAACTCAGTGAGACAAGGAACTTGTCACTCGACTGGTAGGTCAAGGTATGGTAGGATTAGTCAGCCAGGTTCAAGCAATACAACAACCTGCTTCAGGCAAAAAAAACCCTTACAATAGTCCGTGGATTCTCAGAGTGGTGTGATGGCAAAAAACAAACCAGGCTGGGTTTGCACAACATGGCAACCCACCATAGCTCACTGCCTGTGGTGGGTTGTCATGTTGGATGAACCAGTCTGATTCACAGCAATACAGGAAAACCAAACTACTGTATCACCCCCAGCCTGTTCCATACCTATCAGTTTTTGAAAAGCTGTGAGAGACCTTTTACCTTGGAATTTCAATTTGATGTTGAAATCCTGCCATCTGCCACTATTATTTGCCCAATAATGCATGTAAAATCATGGCGTAAGTGGGGGTATATGAATGGGACAAGCCATAATATTCATATGCTTCTTAGCAGAGCGTTTAGCTTTATTGGCAATAATGCCATTTATGAGAGTGAATCTGAAATTCCCAGAACAAACGCATAGTCAACAGACCAGATTCCATAAAGGAAAGCAGTTGATGGGCTTCAGTAACATATAACTTTCACTCTTCTTTCCTGAACTCTCATACCATACCCTCCAGGCCTGAAACATCCCATTTTGGGAAATTCTGTTGTACATTGTCCCAGAAAGGATTGTTTTACAGAAGTTACCAATCTGGAGCTATGAAAGGTGATGGAGCATCTGGGACTAAATAACAGATTCATACTTACCTCGACTATTTCTAAGAGCTCAGGTTTATCTATGCAGCCATTCCCATCTTTGTCGTACATTTTGAAAGTCCACCTCAGCTTGTGTTCCAACTTCCCTCGCAAAACAAGATTTAAAGCAGCCACATACTCCAGAAAGTCAATTGTGTTATCCTGTGGATATATAAAATAGGGATTGAGGGTTAGTTTTCAAAAGCCGCCAGCTCTATTTCCAGATGAACTGGACTACAATGTCCACCTGACCCAACTGGCATGTTGCTATATGGCTTAATAAAACTACCTGCAAGTATTATTTTCCACTATAAACAAGTAAATTTTTGAAATATCAAAAATTTTCTTGCATGATGCTCTTAAACAGCAGCATCTACTTTTGTTTTTTCACAGAACTGAGATTTGAACATGACCCAAAGTGTATTTCTTTTCTTGCTTTTCCACTATATGACCTCTAGGTAGCATTGTGAAATAGCCGAATAGCACTAATACACAAGAGGAATTACACTTTCTTTCACCATCAGAAATAATGCCCCATTTTCCTCACTGCAGAAATCTTTTGGAAAGTGCTGCTTACAGATAGAAACGAAGCTGTGTTTGTGACTTTGTCTAAAGACCATGAGTAGGAAATGAGCAGCACATAATAATAACTCATGGTAGAAAAGCTGCAAGATACTACATTGCTGAAATGCTTTCAAAGACTGAAAGAAATAGACAATTCAGACATTTGTAAGTTACCCCAAAAAGAATAGGTACAATATCTGTCCCATCTGGAGTAATTTATTACTCGAAGATCCAGTGTCCATAGAAACAGCTGCTACTACTCAGCAGCAATAAGCATTGATACTGAAAGGTATATTGCATACCTATGCAACATACCAATGCAAATTAGTGGCTATATCTGTATAAATACGAGGTTAGCCATTATTTTCTCAGTGCAGCTGCCTTCTGAAGCATGTTTGTCATGCTCCATCTGGAGTAATTTACTAATGTTTGATCTGGCCCATAGAATAGATAAAGCCAATAACATTTACTGTGAGAGTTCTAGGTTGCTTGATAGTTTGTGTTTGCTTTTATTTTATGATCTTCCCACCTTCAACAGGACTCTATCTGCTTTTTTAGTCTCTAGGGTTTTCAACAAGTTTCCCCTGAGATAAAGAACTCTGAAATCCATTCAGCCTTTGAAGTGAGTTGAAAGAGAGTCAACAGTTCCTTCCAACAGTTGCTGACTCACCTCTCATCCCAGGATATGACCCTAGGATGGGTTGGTGGGTGGAGCTATGCATAACAACTCCACAAAAGGAACATATAGATGGGAACCACTGATGGATTTGTGTCATTATTCATGTAGATGGGATTTATTCAGTGCAGGCATAACTTCAGAAATTTGTTTTATATAAGGATCCCTATATGTGATGCAGAAGTTCTAGGAATATGGTCTTCTGGGGTTTATAAAAATGTGTTAATAGTGTAGGTGGGATGCAATAGGGGTTGGGAATATGACAATGGCAGGCATATGGAAATCAGAGCCAGTGTGGGTGCCCAACCTACCTCACAAAGTTGTTGTTGTGAGGGTAAAATGATGTAAGCCACCTTGGGTTCCTCACAAGAGGAACAACAGCAGGATATAAATGCAAGAGGAGGAGGAGGAGGAAGAGGAGGAGGAGGAAGATTGCCTCCTCAAAGCTGTCTGTGCGACAAAATTTATAAAGGCGCTTGTATGCCTCATTCAGAGAATTGGAGGGGAAAAGTTTGCCCTTGCCCCAGGACTGTGGTCCCAGTTTGAACTGGGTCCCTTTGTAACTAACATTTACCTATTAAAAACACAGGTGATCTTATTCACAGATTTACCATGTTCTTCCCTCTACAGCTCTAAGCCAGCTAAATGTAAGCATAGCATTTTAGCTGCTATCACTAACTTCACTCTGATTGAACTCTCATAGCAATTTCAGTGTCAGATTCTTTACTGCTGTTTTAGAATCACAATGGGAAGAAACTCATAGTTGAACAGATCATTTTGACCCACCAAGCATCAAGCAAGATATTTTTCCTTTTTTTTGAACATGCAACTACTTTGTTGGAGAAGTCCATTGCTGCTTCTCCTTCCTGACCATTTGTTCTGCTTCCTCATTTTAATATAATTTTTAATGTTCAGATGTTGGCAGCACTGATATCAGGGCAACCTTAGTCCCTCTTCATAGTAAGCATTGCTAGTCAAATGAAACTTTGTGGACCCTTCCAGTGATCAAGGAATCAGTGGTTCTGAACACTGATCTACCATGGACCATGTGTGAATAATACAATGGTACAGACACCCAAGAGTAAAACAAAATACAGCAACTTAAAAACTCCCAGCATATAACCATGCTAGAACTTCTTTTGTAAAAGAGTGCATTTTCTGTCATCACCTTTCAGCTAATGGTGCCAAGGATCCTAACACTGGAAAACTGGCTTCTGCATTAGCTCAAGCACAGACTAGAACTAAACTATCAAAAAGAAATGAAACTAAGGGAATGAAGTGGAACTACAGCCATCGTTTCTATTCTTTGATACAATCTAAACAAATAACGATTGCATTTTATTTGTTCTGTCCTGCTGGTATGTTTTACCTATGTGAGTTGACTTTCTAATGTAGCCTTTGGCTACTGCAGTTCCTAAATGTAATCTTAACATACCTTAACATCAGGTTTTGATATTTTCAAAGGGAGCCCATTCTTAAGTAATGCTTCATCCCTGGGGACATTTGTGGAACTTCAGTCCTTATCTTAAGAGGCCTGTGATAAGCCCTTCTTGAGACTGGATGCCACCCCTGCTTCTGGTTCAGGGGCTGCCAACAGTTTTCCCAAGCATTCTTTGCTGATACAGAAAAATGAAGAATGGGCGCTTAACAGTACTTTTAGATAAGGCTTTAACTGTGCCACCAGGCAAGCTCACTCATTGAGTTCTGCTGGGGATGGGGTAGAACTTGGCACTTTCCATTTGTAACCTTCTCATATGTCCCCCATTGTTCTTCCATCCTTTTTCTTACCGCAAAAGATCTTTCAAGCAGAGGAAAAGATGGAATAGCTGCACAATGTCTTTTGCTGGAAGCACTGAAGCCACTCTTTTGCAAGCACTGTAGATGATAAATTACAATTCTCCTGGCTGGCTTCTTTATGCATATATATGTGTCTGCAAATGTACATACACACCAAGTTTGCCCCCAGATGAATGGGTCCTAGTGATACCCATAAGAAAGCACTGCGTCAGTATTCCATCTTATTCTACCCAATCCATTTTTGAAGTATAAAAACAATGAAAGAAGCAGTGGGGAAACTCCAGAGACCTTCAAGTAGAGGATGAAGTTATCTGCACTGCCACCTCAGACAAAATTCCATCAGTGAGTCAGGGAAATTGCATCTTTAAAGCCTCATCTGGAAGTACCCCAAGTCTGTCCTACTATTTTGTCTACTTTCATTATCTTCAGAACCTTTTGGAGACTTAAGATAGGAGGAGAAAGTTGGAACAAACCACATAGTTGTAGTCTCCTCTGTGGTTAGAAATACAGGTCCCTCAGAGGCAGCCTGTCTGCAAACAACTTGTTTTAGGCTCTGTGCAGAATTCATAATTAAGTGGGTGAAAGTGGGATCAAAAGGTGTAGTCCTGCTGCCCCTGTATATGCAGATTATCTACACATTCCCAAGCATCTGTGCAAGGCTACAGCTTGTGTTTCTCCTGTCTTTTATAGGAAAAAAGGTTAAAAAATATAAGTGGACACAATGATAAAACAGTACTTTGTTTGAGCATGGCTGATTAAAATAAAATGTGTTTGGCCTGATCCACAGATACAGAATTCGAACACAGCTGTGCTTGTGAGGTCTTCTCCATTTCCCTAGCTGAATAGATTACCAATACTAATCAGGGGCGGGGGGGGGGGGTGTTCCTTAAACAATGGAAAGGTGAGTTCTGCAAGCCTAGCATCAACACAGCTTTCTGCAGTATTCATTCCTTGTACCCATACAAAGAGCTTTGTGTGTGTGTGAAACATCATGCAATCTGCTTCCATGTGTCCTCTAGCGTCGATCCAATAATATGGTTCCCGGTGTTTCTCAGTGTATTCTTGCAGGAAAAATGTCAGTCTAGTCAAAAGAAGTCTTTGCACTGGGTGTTTTAAATGCTGAAGGATAATTGCCAAGGATGAAGCCTTAAGCATCAAGATGCAGCTGACATCAGTGGCCCACATGCAGGTAGGCAAGGCTCCTGCTGGGTGCCCTCAGCTACTATGGGGTTTGAAACAATCTGCATGGCCTTAGAATTCCAGGCGTATTCTGCCCTCATCGCTTTCGTGTGGCTCTCCCCAAATCTGGTTTCTGCTGGTTACTGAACACATAATCCCTGCTTGCTCTTTTGACTCTCATTTCCTTACTTGGCATATCTGCTTGACATTTGGTTCTGCCCCATTGACACCCAACATGTTACCTTTGACCTATAAACGCCTGACTTCAGCTACCTTGTTCCTCCTTTCCAAGTGCTAATACATGACTCTGGCTCCTAAATCTGATTTTCTAGCTTCTGATCTTGACACCCTTTCCCACATATCCTGCCCAAAGCACCAGATCCTTGTCGCCAGATACTTATAAACAAATGCATGAATTGTCTCCACTCAAGATAGCTCTAGATCTTCAGTGGCTCTGACTAGAGGCCTTCAGTGGCATTGACCAGAGGCTACAGTATCCCATGGAGCTGGAGTTAGTTATTGTCAGAACCTTGCCCGGCAAAAAACCTCCTTCTTGGTTAAGAACATAAGACCCTGATCAGATCTAGGGTCCATCTAGTCTGACTTTCCATTCACATAATGGCCTACCAGCTGCTCACAAGATCCCTCAAATAGGATATGCATGCAAGAGCACTCTCCTGCCCATGTTCCACAGCAACTGGTGTACATGTTTCACAGATTGCGCAAGCTAGTACTGTGGGGAATTACAGAACTTTTTTTTTTTTTTTTTTTTTTGTGGCAGGGGGCAGATTCTTCAGCTGAAACACCAGGGCCAATTCTACAACTGAAATACCAATTATGGAGGGAGATGAACCCAGCATCATTAATCAGAGGATACTTGACAGATTAAGAATTCTCAGTCATTCTGTTTGCTCTTTTTACTTTTGGAAGCTGCATTTCCCTGGGACCAGTATTCTAACTTTGCTTGTTTCTTTTGTCATTGACTTCTGCCATTCTCTTCTGTATTATTACAAAGCCTGCCTGGCTAGTCAGCTTTAACATAACAAAGCCTTTTACGTGAGAAAGTCTTTCCTTGGAAGGAAGGGGAAAAGGAACACTCACAACATCTCGATTGCATTCTCGGTGACCCTGCTCTTCAGGAATAATCTGTTCCTGAAAAGTAGAGTCCTATTTTGCTCACGTGACAAGTATTTTATCACTGATTTTGTGCAACTTCTCCCACAGGCAGGAAGAATTCAATCAAATTGGGACTGTTTGCATTATATTCCTGTAGTAGGTTTCCTTTTGCTGATCTGGATCAAATTCCAACAATGTCTAACATGTTAGAATTAACAGCATCTGACTCTTGGTGGATTTGCATGTGTTGACCTTGTTTTGTTAATGGATTACCAGACTCATACACAGCAACTCAAATTTCTCATAAAGTACTGAGTCACAATTTGAATACAAGTTAAATGATGCACTTCTCTAACTGAATGCATGGCCTTCCTGTCTGCACATTATTACGTGTTTCTCTGACTGAAATGAGAGACATAAACTAATATGAAATATGATGACACAAGAATGCTTCCAGACAGAGGGCTTAGTATGAACAGTTATGAGGCATTATGCAACTATTCCACCTTTCTTTCCTTAACAGTTTATTTTTCTGGTAAGAAAAGAGACAGAAGAAATGGTGGGAAAGCACAGGGGAGCTACACTGAAGACAACATTGATGTGAGCTGCCCCGAGGCTTCGGCAAATGGGGTGGCATAAAAATGTTTTAATAAATAAATAAAATAAACATTGTCTGGATTTTGTATAGTGTTCTGTGAATGAAGCAGAGCAATTACACGATAGAAGCATCATCTAGAAATCATTGAAAAGAATTGCTTTATTGTAAACCATTTGGGAGCCATGTATGCCTATTGAACGGCATATTAAACCCATAAAACAATAAATAATAAATAAAAGCACCCAAAACATGTAAGTTAACTAGAACTGGGCTTTTTAGAAAAGCCTTCAGCATTGTGAAACTTGAACAATATCAATAGTGGAATTCCAGCCTGGCCAGAATGAATTACAGAACAAAGTCGTGTTCTTCCTGCTGGTTTTCTATTAAACTCAAAGCAACTTGTTTCATTTAAAGCCACTGAAATCAACAAGGTTCCATTTTCTCACTGATACTTTGATCAGAGTCAAGTGACTTCTTATGTAATTGTCATGACAAATGACCTTGCAGTCCATACAGTCAATCAGTGTAGCAAATGCAAAGATTTCCACTACAATGTAAGTACAAGCTGTTTCATCAGTCAGTTAGCCAGGCATATTAGCCTAATAATATTAAGGGCTCCAATTCAGAGAACTCCTTTAGATGTATCTTGTTTCTGGTGTTCAGACAGTAGCTCCTTGCACCTGACATTTCCCAAATTTCAGTTGGGATGGTTATAAGGATGGGTGACACTAAACTGAAGGGGATGTATGAGGATCTGAGCTTGGTGATTTCATGTTTGTTGGGTGTACTACAGGAAGCAAATTTTATCTCCCTCCACACAAAGTTCTACAACTTAGAGTAGATCTTCCACCAGTTAGCTTTATTCTTTTTAACTGCTAGATAAATTTAATTTGTTTTAAATAAATATTAGCAGAATATGGCTTTATTTTGTGATAACAATACAATACAAAGTGCTACAAGAACTACAAGTTTCACCCACACTTTTGAATTGACTGTAGATGCTCTTGTTGATAGTATTGTTTTAAATTGATTGACTGTTGTTATACTATTTTATTGAGTGTTACTGGATAGCCTTTCATGGCTTTCAGATATCAGAACAGGATATAAAAACTCAAAAAAAAAAAAAAATCCCAAACAAACTCCAGATATATAGAAGAATGTAGAGACTAATAAAGGAATTTAGGGTGGCTTCCAAATGAGGTCTCTATGGTACCATTGCCCTGCCTTATCCAGGTAATTTCATGGGGTAGGAGGACTGATGACATTGTCTTTCACTCCTAACCTTCCCTCTGTTTCCCCACTTTTCCCATGTTTCTGCTTACCATAGAAAATCCAGCAAGGGTGAAATCCTATGCATGTTTAACCAGAAAAAAGACCCACAACTCCCCAGCCAGCACAGTCTTTTCTGTCTAAATATGGCCAGAGTTGCACCATAAGAAATTAACATTTCCAATGCCTTCTAATGGCTAGCAGCAGGGCCCTTCCATCTGGAAGCCCCCTAGAATAAATTCACTGGATATCATGAGACCTACTATAAGGAGGAGGAATGATTTCTTGAATTGTTTCAACGAATCAAATATTTAATTTAAAACTCATTGCATATTCAATAATCTGCATAGTCCACAATCCACAAATCTATGGACATGAGGGTAATATGTGTACTTTTACTAGCATTTGTTAGAAAAATTAAAGTTCTAGATGGGACAGGGGAGATAATCTGACCTTAGTAGCAATCCTCTACTATATTAGAGACATTTATTTAGTTGGTTTTCCTGCTGCATGAACTAATGAAAACACTTACCCATCTGCTGGGACCTTGACACATCTCTCACTTTCCTTAGATAAAATTTAACAAAGAACTTCTAGTCAAAAGGGAAACTCTGCATTTAGAAAGGAAGGGAAAGTGACTTTTCTGCATTAGATGCATTAACTTAAAAGGCTGCAAATATTTAAACAAATAAATATCGCAAATAATGCTCACCCCATTCTTGTCAAAAGCCTTGAACATGTTCTCCACATATTCTGCTGCCTCCTGGTTATTCTGTACCCCAAAGAATTGCTTGAATTCATGCATGAATAGAGTCCCACTTGGACATTCAACCACAAACTTCTTATACCATTCCTGCAGTTCAGCCACATCGATCTCAACCTGCTCCCCTTCCTCATTGGTGAAGTGTTGTCCCATGTTGCTTTACGGAACAGAAAAGGAAGGATGAGTGCCTTTGAACTTTCAATTTTCTTTCTTCTTGGATAACCTTTTCCCCTTTATGGCATTTATTTTTTTTTCTTTCTTCAGTGAATATTATTTGTTTAAGCCAGACTTCTCCTCCTCTTCTTTTTGCCCTTCTGTCTTGAAGCCTTTCCTCACCCTTCCAGTGGAACTCTGACTCTACTGCAACCTGGAGTGGGTTTCCTGGATTAAATCTGGACAAGATAAGAATATCTAAGATCATTAGGAGATTCCCCTGTGTGCGTCAGAGACAGGGCAATGCCTCATTTAGAAATTTTAGGGTGATGCCTACCCAAGCGCTGGGGTCACTGGGGCCTGGAATGTCAGTCTACAGCTTTGAAAGCTCCCACACTGAGAGCTATTTATGGCACCTTCCCCACTGATTCTATGTTTGAACCATACCTGAACTTTAACCAGTTGCTCCTATTTGCTAGCATAAGCACAGGTGAACCATCTATTTCGTGAGAGCCTTGTTGCTGCTTTCTAATCATGTGAGGCAACAATATATAGAGATAGAATTAAATCTAAATTGCTGTTGTGTAAACATGGTACCTAAGATTTCTATTTAGTGTCTTCAGACTATCAGCCTGGCACTAATCCAGAAGAAAATCAATACAAACCTTCTGAATTGTCTGATAGGAAAGGGGAAAATAAACATTTCCTATATTAGCCAAATGAAAGTTTGAAACTGTTTGTAGAAACTGTAAGCACACATTCAGTATGGATTTTATTTCTTTATTCACATAGTATTGATAGTATTTGTATTAGTATCACATATTTCTGTACGGAGCTCAGGAAAACATAAATGGTCTTCCTCCTAATTTTATCCTGACAGCAATCCTGTCAAGCTGAGAGGTACAGTAGATGCTAGAACCCATATTGGTGGTTTGGCTAGTCCTGCAAGCTCAGTCGCTGAAAAGGAATTCAGATTCTGCTTTCCTAAATCCATTTCCAAGATTCTCTCCAATACACCTTGGTGGCTCTAATTGTTTGTTTGTTTATTAGATTTGTGTCCTGCCCCATTAGCCTAGATGGGTTACAAAGCTAAGAAATAGTTGCAGCATGCCTATTCATCTCTCTTGTAAGTAAAGTGCTATTTTTGAGGTGTTCCTTACCAAAACACTTCCATGCAACTTCTGTTCAGCTTCATGAGCTGCCAGCTTCCTGACAATTCTGGCAGTTGTGAATTGACTTTGAAGAAGTAAGCATTAAATTGAAAATGCTTTTTTGGTTTCATGTGTGAACTCCTCATAGCAATCAGAGTAACCAAAAATATGTGGGGGGAGAAAACAGATGGCAGGCAGAAAAACTGTATGTGTAGATGTGGTGGTGATGGATCTCTAGAACCTACACAATGAAAAGTGAGAGCATTTCACACTAAGATGCCAGAACTGAATGCCTTTGTTAATTAATTATATACAACCAGGTGCTGCAAGCTGGTAACAAGTGACAATTATAAGGAATAATGTTCCCAGGGGCATGGTACAGCATCTAACGTAAGGTTCAAGCATACTTAGGAAAAAAATAAACCACCTGCACTGAAGATGCTATTCAGGTTATTGATTACAGTTATGAAATATAGACTATAATCAATAACCTGATTATATTATATGCAGAATATAAACAAATGTGAGAAAGCTCATATTCCCCTTTATCTTATTGGTTCCCTGAATAGATTCCTCTCTTCCACTATTGTAAACTCTGTGAGGAGTTTTAACTCCTCTTTCTTGAGAAATGGGGCACTGGCAAAGCTGTTCCAGTAAGGCACTAGTCTCTTATCACAGCCATAGCCCTTATCTACAGAGGGTTTGGGGAAGCCAGCTTCAAGGCAATTATCTCCAGTGCTCTTCCTAACAAACCGAAGGGGACAGGACCTTGCCATGGTTTCAAGAAACTATCCTGGCTTTTGGACAGTTCACTATCTGTTGATCCTAACTAACTTCTTCATTCTTCTGGTGTGCCCATACAATACATGTAATGATGGAAGATATCTGGTAATGACAAGCAATTCTGTGAGATCTCAGTTGTGTCAGCCTTTCCCCCATATGCATAGTTAACCATGTTAATATTGCCGACATTATTTACCACAGTATAAAGTATACGTTAGATATCAAAGATAAATTATGAAGATTCAAGGAATGCTGGTACCATCTGGTGGGTCACAGGATTTTTTAGAGTCCCAGCTGCAGCATTAGAAAGTAGCACCAACACTGGCGATGCATCTGTGTGCTTGGTGCTCTTCCCATCCCCCTACAGCCAGCACAGAGAAAGCCATGGCGGCTGCCCCTCTGAGGTAACACAAAACAGGCACTGCCAGATACAACAAGGGCCAATCCACCATATCAGCACTGTGATGCCTCACTCACTGGCATGGCACATGATGTTCAACCCAGCCTGCCTTCATCTAGTTATTTCTGTCAATGTATCATGGATTTCTTCAGACCTGTTTCATCATGGCTTTTCGTATGATGCAGTTTTTTCCCCTGTGTGTGTGTGTGTGTGTGTACATATCAGCACATGCTAATCCTGCAGTACTACTCAGGGGCCAGGTTTCCATGGGCTACTTGGCTGTGGGGGAAAGAAGCACTCTGGGGCTTTTCAGCAGCTTTTCTCCTTCTCTAATTTGCAAATGCCTCTTCCATTCCCCTCTGAAAAAATAACATTTGTGGTTTCTTTCCAAGCCTTCCTGATTGCCGTCTTTGTCCTCTTGCTCAAAAAGCATGTGCTGAAAAAGCATACATGTCTACTCAGAAATAAATCAGATGATCTTCAGTGTCTTACAAGGAATGCACACTGATTCCACTCGTAGGAAAGTAAATACTGGAGTTAGTTGTACTAGCTTGCTTTTAAGTGGAGGGTAAGGGGGGTGCTGGCTTTATCCTATGGGGGTTGAAAGGACAGACGAGCAGCAGTAAACTTTCTCCTTCCCCATATTTTTATGAAGAAGCAGGAAGAGATGTCAATTACTTGTCCATTTTAAAAACATCTCTCTTTTGCATAGCTTAAGCTTAATAAAAACAAACACAAATAAAAAGGAAACCTAAAAGGACCATTTCCCTGCACGCATCCCTTGTCCAGCTCCTCCCTCTTCTCCCACAGCTGCATTTGTGTGTGACATCAACTGTCACACTGTGTGCCCAGACATCATATTCATCAGCATGGGCCCCAACTATGGTAAACCCATTTTGCATATTTGCATAAATATTGTGACCGTGTTCCCTCATAAACAGAAGGATTTATGTAGGTCTCCCCCACACAATGCTGGTGCCTCATCCCTCCCTCTCTGAAGCGCTACAGTTAGATTGGCCAGGTAACTGCTTTGTAAGGCAGGAGGAACCTGGAGGGAACCTTCACCTTTGCTGTCTTCCAACCATGCACAGGTGCTCAGATCTGGTGGGTTATGGGCAGCCTCTCTGGATTGCACCCTAAATCTTATATGCACTCTGATAAAAGATTTCATTATGCTATGCATTATGTGGAGGTGTCTAAAAGGAGAACAAAAAAGAAAAAGAAAGAAAATGAACATTTTTAGTCCAAAAGTCAGGGTCCTGTTTCTGTAACTGTCCCCCACTTTTTTAATCCACTGTTATTCTCAGGTATGCAGGTCCAAATCTATGTTCTCAGCAGTGGAAAGTAATGACCTGCCCTATAAATGTGCTTGAGCTGTCCTAAGCAGATAGGATTCTGGCTCTAAGAGGATTGGTACAGTGTTAATAGGAAACAATGGTCTCCGTGCTCTAATAATAGCAAGGCACAAAGGATTACAAAGAATTGCCTATTCAGCAGGCCAATTTACACAAAGGCAAGCTAATGAATCCCCCTCCTCCCAACCCCACCCCCCATTCAGATATATTATAATGTCTCAGAAAACCCCATACAAACATTGGGCTGGGTGGATTTGATCCACATGTGACATACCTTTAGAAATCATGTTGAACCCAGAGGGGATGGAGGAAATATTTAAAAATAGATATTTAAATGAGTTTAAATTACCCGTCCCCATAATGGCATTAGACATTTTGAAACATCTCTTCCTCCTGCCATTACTGTTGATACATGCCGTCAAGTCATCTCCAACCCATGATGACCCTAGGAACGAGTGCCCTCCAGAATGATCAGTCTTTGACAGCACTCAGAAATGCTCAGCTCTTCTAAACCCAAGGCTATCGTTTCCATTATGAAATCAATCTCTCTCATATCTAAATGGGGGTGCAGGTGCCTCATTCACAAACTGTTTGGGAGTTTCCAAATAGTGTTGCTATTATTTCATTTCATTTCTATAGTGCCCAATAGCCAAGGATTCTGTCACACAGAACGCTCTTGAGTTTTCCCACCACTTCCAATTCTTTTTCCACCATGGAAAAACTATGAAGGAAAGAAAGCATGGAATTGCTGCACCATCCCTTCTGATTGGTAGTGCTAAGAGCTCTCTGCTTGGAAGTGCCCCCTAGTATGGGGGCCAAAGGCATCTTCTTTAAGCTGCAATTAATTTACCAACTGCAGCCCTACCTGGACAGGCAGACCTTAGCCACAGTCACACACACTCTGCTAACATCGCAACTGGACTGCTGTAACACGTTCGATGTGGCCTTTGAAGATGGTCCAGAAACTTCCATTGGTACAGAATAGGGTGGCACAACTGCTGCTGCGAGCATGTCCACACGCCCATATTACCCTGATATTATTTCATCTGCACTGGCTACCAGTTGAGCTCTGGGCCCAATTTAAGGTGCTTGTTCTAACATATAAAGCCCTAAACAGCTTGGGACCAGGACACCTGAAGGACCGCCTACTCCAATATGTACCTACCTGACCCCTAAGGTTGGGTAAGGAGCCCCTTCTGAAAGAGTCATCCTCCAAGAAGGTAAAAGGGGCCTTCTCAGTGTTTGTGCTCCATCTATGGAATGGCCTCCCAAGAACAGTTTGCCTGGTGCTTTCATTATAATCTTTTTGTC